GGGGGGGAGTTGGGCACCCCCTACCCCTTCTAACCAAGGGGGGGGGCAATTGGAGGGGTTGGGGGCCCCCCCCCTCTACCCCCACAAGACAAGGCGCCGACAGGGGGGTTTGGCCCCCCCCCCCCTTTTCCCCCCCCAAAAACAGGCCCCGTCAGGGGGGTTGGGGGCCCCCCCCCTTTCCCCCCTCAGGAAAAGGCCGGAGGGGGAAGTTTTTGTTTTTTCCCTTTTTAAACAAAAAAACAAGGGCCTTGGGGGGGGGGGGGGGGGCTTGGGCCACCACCCCCTTTTCACACCACAGAAGAAGGGGCCGATCAGGGGGTTTGGGGCCCCCTTTCCCCTTTTCACACCAAAAACCCACAAGGGCGATCAGGGGGTTTGGGCGCTGCCCCCTGTCACGCTGATCCGGTGCCAGGAGGCCTCGCGGCTCCGCTGATCCCGGTGCTGGGAGGCATATTACCCTTTTACTATATAGGATAGAGGCCTGGGGGCCAGCTGGTTTGCCCTGAAGGGTATCCTGGATCAGGGTGGGGGTCCCCACTGGGGTGCCTGGCCAGCCTGGATGAGGGGATGATGGCTGTTTGCAGCTGGTCACACACCCTTCAGGGTGGGGGTCCCCACTGGGGTGCCTGGCCAGTCTGGGTGAGGGGCTGAGGGCTGCTTTCAGGCTGGCGGTTGTTGACTGAAGCTCCCAACCGCTCCTTTTTTTTCTCTTTTTTTAATTTTATTCTGGGCCAGCTTTAGCTCTGGCTTTAGCTCTGAGGCTTCCGCTGCTAAAAGCAGGTATCTGGTTTGTTTGCGTTCTATAATCGAAACAATGTATAACTCCAGCTCTGAGATCCCGGCTGGCTGAAAGCTGGTTTCTGGGGTTTTGTTTAGCTTCTATATTTGTTAGAATGTTTCAAACTGCCAGCTCAGAGGCCAGCAAGTCAGGCGGGGAACGTTGGCGTCTGCAGTCACTGGAGCAAGCAAGCCTCATGTTCGCTTCCAGCTGCTTGGCTGCCGGCCGCCATCTTGGCTGACAGTTAATTTGCATAAGGATATGCTGATTAGCCAATGGGAAGGGTAGCGGTCGTACGCTAATTACCATGTTTCTCTTTTATTAGTGTAGACTAGAGGCCCGGTGCATGAAAATTCATGCACTGAAGGGGGGTCCCTCAGCATGGCCTGCCCCCTCTCACAGTCCGGGAGCCAACCCGGCGATCAGGGGAGGGCGACGCCCCCATCACACCTCTGCTGCTGCCACTGCCAGCAGCACAAGCCTTGGCCGGCCCTGGTTATCTAAGCCTTGGGCGACTGCCATCCAAAGCTTGCCTGCACCTCAGACATTGGCTGGGCAGCCGACATTCGAGGCTTCCCTGCACCTCGGGCCGGCCCTGGGCAGCTGGGGGGCTGAGGGGACTGGGGGACTCCAGAGGCAGGTGCGTGGAGTGGCCGGACCCGCCTGGGGGCCCGGCCATGCTGTGTGCCTGCCACCCCATGGGGCTGATGGAACTGGGCGCTGCCATCTTGCGGCTGTGGGTGCCGCCATCTTTGAGGGCATGGCAGTCAATTAGCATATTCCCTCTTTATTGGCTGTGAGCACTGCCATCTTTGTGAGGGCATGACACTCAATTAACATATTCTCTCTTTATTAGATAAGGTATATATAATTGATTGCAGAGAGGAAGGGAGAAGAAGAGATAGAAGCATCAGTGATGAGAGAGAATCTTTGATTGGTTGCCTCCTGCACACCCCCCACTGGGGATCAAGCCCACAACCCAGGCATGTGCCCTGGTAGATTGCTTGTCTCTCTTTTTTTATTTTTCTGGAGTTTTGTTCTGTTCTTTCATTTGGGAATGTGTCTTTGTCTCATTTTGGCTGCCTTCCTGTATTTGTTTCTATGTATTAGATATAACTGCCATGGTGTCGCCTTATGTAGTAGGTATCCTGTGATATCCAGTTGCACAATCTCCCTATTACCTGAGCCTGATGCTCTAGATATATCCCTGTGTAGGTTATGTGTCTTCCAATTGTAGTTGAGACTTGATTGCTGTTGGTATTTCAGTGAAAGGGATTGACCCTCAGGCTGATTTATTGTGAGGACTGGCCATGACTACAGGAGAGGGGTTGTGTAGGGGTTGACCCTATGGAGCAGGATTTGCTTTTGCTTTAACTGGGCTGTGATGCCTGCTGATTCTGCCTTTGGAGTGTCATTTGTGGAGGTGATTGGGTGGTACTGTGGTGTTGTCTGAAGCTGGCTACTGGGTTTCTTTGTTCTAGGGCCTCTTGGAAGGTGTAGGCCAAGGTTAGCTGCAGCCTATGCCCTGCCTGGGCCCACCTGACCTAGTAGAAGCTACAAAATGATTTGCAGATGATTGCTGCTTTTTCTGGGCTTGGAGGTGCCTGGGAGAGGCTAAGCTGTGAATTGAGGCTTGGTGCCACTAGTTTCTGAGTTGGGGCTGCCTAACAAGAGGTTTGGGGCACACAGGGGCCAGATGCTGCTTATTTGGGGTTTGTGAACCTCTGAGATTTTTTTATCCACAGCATGAGCTGTTGTTATGGAAAAGCCACTAGAAGTGGCTTGGGGTGGGCCTACAAGTTGGGTGGGGTGGGTCCTCTGGGAATGGGGGTGGGAGATCAATGTTAGCCAGGTTAATGGAGACTCAGATATGATTCTCATCTGTGCATGGAGAGGGAGGACTCAGCAAAGGAACGGGGGCTTCTGCCAGCACTTCCGTCTGGGAGGAAGCTGCCCCTCCAAGCCCTCATCATGAAGCTGGACAATTCAATTCCTCCCCTATGTCTCTGGCATCTTTCAAGCTGCTGCCCCAGTACTGCAGCTCAGAATGAGTGAATCTTAGTAAGTCTGTGAGCAGGTTCTTTAAGAGGAACAGCTGAGACCCCAGCAGCCCTCCATCTTACTCAGCCACAGTACCTGTGGGTCTTCACACCTAGGGGTTATGCAGACTTCTCTTTCAGGCACTGGAGCTATGGGCGTGGGGCTGGGAACCCTTGCTCCTGCGGGGAGAACGTTGCAGCCAAGGTTTCCCTTTCAAGTTTTAAGCACCGCACATGGGTGTGTGACCTGCCAATTCCACATCTCTGCCTTTCCTACTAATCTCTGGACCTGAATTCTTCTGTATATCCTTAGTTATAGGACTTCTGTTCAGCTAGTCTTTAGGTGGCTGGTCCCATTGCTCTCTCGCAAGCTCATTTGTGCCTGGCTGGTCTCATTCCTCTCTCTCCAGTGTTCAGTGTCTGAGCCATTACAGAGTGAGGGCGTGATGACCATTTGGATGTTAACTCTTTATTATATAGGACTAGTGGCCCAGTGCACGAAATTCATGCACGGGGGGGTGTCCCTCAGCCCGGCCTGCACCCTCTCCAATCTGGGACCCCACAGGGATCGGGCCTAAACCGGCAGTCGGACATCCCTCTCTCAATCTGGGACTGCTGGCTCCTAACCACTCGCCTGCCTGCCTGATCGCCCCTAACCACTCTACCTGTCAGCCTGCTCCTCCCCTCCCACCCCCCCGCTGGCCTGCTCACCCCCAACTGCCCCCCCACCCCCGCCGCCAGCCTGGTCACCCCTGACTGCCCTCCCCTCCTGGTCTGATTGTCCCGACCTGTCTCTGCCTCAGCCCCGCCACCATGGCTTCATATCAGGAAACTGCCCACTAGAGTTGCCTGGAATAATTAGCCTACCCTTTTGTTAGTATAGATAGAGGCCTAGTGCATGGGTGGAGGCCGGCTGGTCTGCCTTGAAGGGGGTTCTGGATCAAGTTGGGGATCCCTTTGGGGGGGCGGGGCCAGCCTGGGTGAGGGGCTGATGGCTGTTTGCAGGCTGGCCAGGTCCCCATCGGGGTGAGGGTCCCTGCTAGGGGGCGTGGCCAGCCTGGGCAAGGGGATGATGGCCATTTGCAGGCTGGCCATGCCCCATCGGGGTGAGGGTCCCTGCGGGAGGCATGGTTGGCCTGGGCAAATTGCTGAGGGCCGTTTGGGGGCAGTTTACAGGCCAGCCAAGCCCCTCGTTTTGTCCGGAAGGACGTCCGGAAGGTCTCCCAGTCTAATTAGCATAATACTCTTTTATTAGTATAGACTAGAGGCCCAGTGCATGGATTCATGCACTGGTGGGGGGCATGGCCTGTGGGGATCCAGCCCGCTGTGGGAGCACCGCTCATCCCAGTCAGCCAAGCGCCGCTCCCACTGTGGTAGCGCACTGACAACCAGGGGGCAGCTCCTGCATTGAGCATCTGCCCCCTGTGGTCAGTGCACATCATAGCAACTGGTCTACCAGTCGTTCTGGTTGTTCCATCACTGGGCTTTTATATATACACTGGGGCCTTGACTTACGAGTGTCCCGACTAACGAGTTTTTCGAGATGCGAGCCGTCTCTCGGCCGATTTTTTGCTTTGAGTTGCGAGCTAAAATTCGGGTTACGAGCCAGCTTCAGATACCCCACCGCTAGTTGGCGCAGCGAACATCACAGTGAACGCCACAACATCAGCCCAGCATCACGTGTCTCACTCGTTCACTTTAAGATTTGACATACGAGTAATTTGAGTTACGAGCTCCATCACGGAACGAATTAAACTCGTAAGTCAAGGCCCCACTGTATATAGATATGCATCCATTAAGAATTGCTTCACCATTTATTAGAAGTTGAACTCCACCACTTAACTTTTAAACAATTTTAGTAATGATTTAATTTTAAGGTACTAATTTTTTTGTGTTTTGTTATCAGACTCTACTTACCAACCACTTATTATCCATGCCCTTTAACCTTCCTAAAAGTATTATGTACCTTTAAGGTTCCTGAATCTTAATATTCTAAATTTGATATTCCTATATCAGATATGCTAGAATTTAATGGAATTCTTCAAAGCAGTAAACTCATATCATTGATAACCTGTTTGGTATACCTTGCCTTTTTTAGATACCTAAAAAGGTTTAAGGTGATGAAGATCAAAGTTCTACGAAGCTGGTGCCGGCAGATCCTTAAAGGACTTCAGTTTCTTCATACTCGAACTCCACCTATTATTCACCGAGATCTTAAGTGTGACAACATCTTTATCACTGGTCCTACAGGCTCCGTCAAGATTGGAGACTTAGGTCTGGCAACCCTGAAGCGGGCTTCTTTTGCCAAGAGTGTGATAGGTATGTTTCAAGTGTACCTTGCAGCCTAACTGGCTTTCTGACATTCCTTTTATTTAGAAGCCCGACCCTGTCAGAGCTTTTATTATGTAACATAAACCTTCAAAAATTCATAACATGAATTTAAGAAGTGATCAGTTCTACTTATGAGATGTGTAGCTCTCTATATTTACTCTTCTAGAATCATCTGTCAATGTTTTTATAAATTATATAAACAGAAGTAAGGTGAACTCTTAATAAAACTTAATGTTAGCTATCAATCTTATTGGGTCATTCTTTTGATATTTAGTATTATATACTTATTTATATAAAAGATATAGTGAGTTACTTTCCATGTGAAGAAAACAACTTCTATGTATTTTAGTTACTAAAATAGTCTGTTGGATTTATATGTATATTGAAAAATATCAGCCTATTAATATCAGCTTATTTTAAAGTGTGAAAAAATGAGTTCAGCCCTGACCGGTTTGACTCAGTGGATAGAGCGTCAGCTTTCGGACTCAAGGGTCCCAGGTTCGATTCCAGTTAGGGGCATGTACCTTGGTTGCGGGCACATCCCCAGTGAGGGGTGTGCAGGAGGCAGCTGATCGATGTTTCTCTCTCATCGATGTTTCTAACTCTCTATCCCTCTCCCTTCCTCTCTGTAAAAAATCAATAAAATATTTAAAAAAAAAAATGAGTTCATTTTGAAAGTTTGGTTTTACCAATTTTTTACCTTATTCCTACTCTTCACAAGATATATCTAAAACAGGATTTTTCAACTTAAGTATTATTGAAATTTTGGGTTAGACAATTCTTTGTTATAAAGGTTGTCTTGTACATTGTAAGATTAGTTAGCAGCATCCCTGGCCTCTACTCACTAATTGCCAGTAGCACACCCCTTGTTCTCCCCCTAGTTGTTATAACCAAAAATGTCTCTGGAAATTGCTAAATGTTAACCTTACAGCTACCATACAGTAGGGGGCAGACAAGTATTTTGATCTTTTTTAACCCATCATCCTGTCTTACAGGTAAATGCCATTATGGTTACTTTATTCCTTGCTAGTTTCTTACCTTTTCCTTTTATTTGTTTTCAATATGAGATATCAGTTTATCTTTTTTTTTCAAGGCTCTGCTTGGTACAGCAGTAATCCATTTGAAATAGTAAATAAGGACACTTGACCCTGTTCTAGTTTCTTTTATAAAGGCCTTGCAGTGAAAGATCTATAATATATTTGATGAAACAGACTAAGATTTTATTCCTCTTTCTAATACCCCTCCCTTCCTTCCCTCTTCCATTTTATTCTTTCTCAGGTCAACTCCTGCTTCTTCCCTGGGTGAGTAACATCTGCAGCTTCTACTTGCATTGAGTCTGAATCATTCTTTTAATTTAAAGGTACCCCAGAATTCATGGCCCCTGAGATGTATGAAGAGAAATATGATGAATCCGTTGACGTTTATGCCTTTGGGATGTGCATGCTTGAGATGGCCACATCTGAATACCCTTACTCAGAGTGCCAGAATGCTGCGCAGATATACCGTCGTGTGACCAGTGTAAGTCTTCCTCTCACTGACTGATGAATTTAGGTCACATTAAGAAGGAATCCCAAGCTAGAGAACATCAAATAATGCAGAAGGGAACAATAGTGAAGGCATACTGAGATGTTGGAAGAAGAGGGAGTTGAGGTATTTATTGCTCATGATACAGTGAGAGCAAACATAAAGATGAAAGAAGCACCAATTTATCCTGGACCCTCCTTGCATTCATTTAAATGTTTATTATGAGATATGTAAGTTCTCATTTTTCCCACCATGAAGCTTATTTGAGTTATGCTCTTTTTTTTTTTGTTGTTTTGTTTTGTTTTGTTTTTTTTTTATTGAGTTATGCTCTTAACCTAAGCTGGTTTGTTCACAGACTTTTTCTCTGAATGGCTTAAAATAGATATACTAATTTATTAAATCATTTATTAATACCCACAGTTTTTAAGGTATATATTTAAACCATATTCTAGTTTAAATTACACATGGTAATTTATCTCTGCCAAAAGAGGTATTTTCTAGAGTGCCAATTGAAACCTAAAGCATAGTTGTTAGGTCCATAATATAAAGCACTGAAAGTTTATTATAAGAATGTGGAGGAGGCTTTCCACAAAGGGCATAAAAGTTAAGCAAAGTAATTTTATTGACTATTTTTATAACTTTTTCTTTTATGAAAAAAGTTTAAACATATAAAAGAATAGAGAGAATCATTCAATGAATTCCCATTTATTCAACGCAACATGAATATTGGAGCAATTTTTGCTACACTTACTTCATCTGTTCTCTTTCTTTATTTCATTGTTTCATATGCCTCTATAAAAATTAAAGATTTTTTTATTATATAACCATATCATACCTAAAAAATTTAATAGTAAATTTCTGGATCATTTAATACCCTAACCTATTAAGATATTTCCCCTATTGTTTCAGAGATGTCTGTTTACAGTCAGTGTTCAAAATAGGGTCCATCAAGATCCACAGAAGACATTTTGTTGTCATGTGTCTTTATCTAGAACTATTGCCCTTGCTTTTTTTTTTCTGTGTTTTATTGATTTGTTGAAGGAATTAGATGAATTGTTTTGGGAAATGTTTCACATTCTGGATTTGTCTATTTGCTTCCTTATGATGTCATTTAACTTGTTAGTTTATCTTCTACATTTCTGTAAACAGAAATTTACCTTAAAGTTGTAGAGGGGTGTCGGTGATATAAAAATAATTTGTCTTTTTAACTCATTCATACAAAAGTATACAGTGTCATTTTCTGGAGGCTAAATAATGTGTGATACTGCAGCAGATTAAATACAGAAGCAGCTATGACAATCCACTTGTCTTCTTTTAAGCCATATTCTTCTCACTAAATTTTTCTTTTTTTGGGGGGAAAATATTGGGTTTTTTACTTTAAAGGTTATATATTATTAACATTTAATGAGGTTTATTATTATAAATTTTTATAATAAATTGTTTTTGTTGTTAATCCTCACCTGAAGATATTTTCCATTGATTTTTAGGGAGAGTAGAAGACAGAGAGAAACATCGATGTGAGAGAAACACATCGATTGGTTGCCTCCTGCACAAGCCCTGACCAGGGCCTGGGCTGGGGAGGAGTCACAACCAAGGTACATGCCCTTGACTGGAATTGAACCCGGGACCCTTTGGTCTGTAGGCTGACGCTCTTATCCACTGAGCCAAACTGGCTGGGGCTATTAAAATTTTTGATGAATTAATATTTTAAAACTTTCCCAGTTTTAATTTCTAACATGGTAAATAACAACACATAAGCAAAAGTCTTTGGAGTCCTCAATAATTTTTAAAAGTGTAATGGAGGACTCCAAGAGAAATAAGTTTGAGACCACTAGTTCCAAATGCTTGATTAAATTTAGGTTCATTCTGGCCAGTGTGGCTCAGTTGGTTGAGTATTATCCTGTGCACTGCAGTCTCAGGTTTGATTTCTGGTAAGGGCACATAAAAAAGTTAGGTGTTGCCGAAGCCGGTTTGGCTCAGTGGATAGAGCGTCGGCCTGCAGACTGAAAGGTCCCAGGTTCGATTCCGGTCAAGGGCATGTACCTGGGTTGCGGGCACATCCCCGGTGGGGGATGTGTAGGAGGCAGCTGATTGATGTTTCTCTCTCATCGATGTTTCTAACTATCTCTCTCTCTCCCTTCCTCTCTGTAAAAAATCAATAAAATATATTTTTTAAAAATTTTTGCAAGAATAATTAATATGTGGTTCTGTGTATTTTATATTACACTAGAGGCCCGATGCATGGATTCATGCACCTAGGGGAGTGGGGGGGGGCGGTCCCTCGACCTGGCCTGTGGGATCGGGTCGAAACTGGCTCTCCAACATCCCCCGAGGAGTCCCGGATTGCGAGAGGGCACAGGCCAGGCCGAGAGACCCTGGAACTCTAGTATGCATATAAGATCTTTGGTTAATCTCTTCCCGCCCTCTCCTGTCCCCCTTCCCTCTGAGATTCATCAGTCTGGTCCATGTTTCTATGCCTGTGCTTTCCACTCCTGTGTTGAGCGTCTGCCCCCTGGTGGTCAGTGCGTGTCATAGCTACCAGTCTGCCGGGTCGTTTAGGCTTTTATATTTGACTAATAGCCTGCACACGAATCTGTGCGCTAGTAGCTCGCCAGTAGCTTGCTGCTGCCCTCCAGTAGCTCTCCGCCCCACCCTCCTGTAGCTCCCCCCATACCCCCTCCCTCCGCCCCCTCATAGCTTGCTGCCCTGCCCCCTCCTGTAGCTCTCTGCCACCCGCTCGTAGCCAGTAGCTCACTGCTGCCCTCCTATAGCTCTCTGCCTGCTCCTTCGCCCTTCTGTAGCTCCCTCCGCCTCCTGTCCCCCCATAGCTTGCTGCCCTATCCCCTCCTGTAGCTCTCTACCGCCTGCTTGTAGCTCACTGCCCCACCCTCCTGCTGATCCGTGGTTCGGTTGTTATGCTTCACAGCGTAACTACCATTTGCATATTACATCTTTATTATATAGGATTAAGAGGCACATAGTATCTAGTTAACTCATTTTTAGTGATACAGTTTCATTAAACTTTTATATATTAGAAAATGTGATTACAAATTGTTTATTTAGATTTGGATAGCTGGTTAGAATGGTAATTTAGTATACTTCTAAAAATCTTATGGCCCAGTGGTTGAGCATTGACCTATGAATCAGGAGATCACAGTTTTATTCCCAGTCAGGGCACATGCCCAGGTTGTAGGGTTGATCCCCAGTGGTATGGGTGGGCAGGAGGCGGCCAGTCGATGATTCTCTCTCATCATTGATGTTTCTATCTCTCTCTCCCTATCCCTTTCTCTTTGAAATGAATAAAAATCCTTTAAAAAAAAAAAAAAACTTGCCCTAACTGGTTTGGCTCCATGTATAGAGCGTCGGCCTGCGATCTGAAAGGTCCCAGGTTCGATTCCGGTCAAGGGCATGTACCTTGGTTGCAGGCACATCCCCAGTAGGGGGTGTGCAGGAGGCAGCTGATTGATGTTTCTCTCTCATCAATGTTTCTAACCCTCTATCCCTCTCCCTTTCTCTCTGTAAAAAATCAATAAAATATTTTTTTAAAAAAACAAAACTTAAGATAAACATTTTCATTAGGGTGACCAAATTAGTTTTATATCTTCACAAATAAAGTTTTGGGACATATCTTTGATTATCTCATTAATTATAATTGCTATGAATATTCCTATAATGTCCTCTTTTTTTTTTTGTAGTTTGTATGTGATTCTACTGTGTGATAGGTATGCAACAATTTTGGACAGTTAATTTATTTTATTCAGCATGAATGGTAAGAACCATTAGGGTCTTTATACCCAATAAAAATAATAGATATTGTTTGTATGGAAAAGAGCATTACTCTCAAGTTATTTCTCAGCTTTGTAAATTTTGCGGTATTTTATCAATTATTGTTACTATCTCCACGTCTCTTGAGTCCTTACTGTTACAATCATCAGCCTCTTTTCAACACACATTCTCCATCCCACCCCAGTTTCTAATTCATGGTAGGGCTCTCTAAAGCATTGATCTTCAACTCAGGCAGGAGAAATGTAGTTTCTTTAGGCTTCAGATAATTGCAGTAAGTATCTTAATCATTATTCTATAGTTTTGCCCTTAAAAAGCTCATCTGCTTTGCCTCTTACAGTTCTAGATCTGTATTCCAAGTTCAGGTCTTTTATTATTATTACATTTTTTCCCCTCAGTGCATAAAATATTTTCCATTTTTCCTTTTTTTCTTTGGAGATAGGGTGGCTTATTTACTGGATGATTTTCCCCTTTATTTAGAATTCTTGAAACCTCAAGAAGTATATGTGACTCATTTTTTTACTCTCTACTTCCAGTTTATCAGATTCTTGCTTCAGAATAACTCTTAGATGCAAGCCTTTATTCTCATTGTCAGAACTCTGATTTTACATCTTATGTCACACCTTAACATTATTGTCCAGAAGTAGTTTATATTATAAATTATTTTTTTTGCTTATCACAGCATGTACAAATTTTTAACGTTCTCTTTTGCTATTCCTTATCTTCCTCTAAATACTTTTTTAGTTAAGCTAGTCTTCTTTATTATACACATAAGCCACATCCTTTCGTTTATTCCTACCCATTTGTACATGCCATTTACCTTCTCTCAATGATGAGAGAGAATTATTGATCGGCTGCCACCTGCATGCCCCACACTGGGAATCAAAAAGTGACCTCTTGGTTCATAGGTTGACACTCAACTACTGAGCCATGCTGACTGGGCAGTTTTTACATTTTTTAAATGGTGAAAATAAAAAGAATATGTCGTAACGTGTGAACATAATACCAAATTCATATTTCAGCATCATAAATAAATTAACAAAACCCAGCCATACTCATTTATTTCTGTATTACCTATGTTTGTTTTTACATATAGTGACACTAGTGGCCTGGTGCACGGATTCATGCACATTGAAAGGAAATTAATTAGAAGAAATATTTTAATATCCTTATTCGCCCTTTCTCTATAATAGAAGTGTTAGAGATGAAAG